GACGGTATACTATGCGCGGGAGGAATGATAGCACTGCTGGACGCGTACCGCGCATGCTTTTGTCTTTTACAAACCCCTGTACGATAATATAGCCTAGGGACGAGTGGCAGGTCCTCACTCTACTTAAGAATGTACTTAACTGACGCGAAAGTTAACTAGGTTTAAACTAAAAACCAGTCCTCTAATTCGGTCTAGCTGTACAGCCTAGAGATAAATTTTAATCACAGCGTTAGTTAAGAAAGGGAAGCCGAGTACAAGTCATGCTTAAAGATCAATAAAGATGAAATTATCAAAATGTATACCTGGGTACGTGCTCAAGCATCGAATTGGACGCTAAAACACGGTGTTCCGCATAGGCTGATTACTGTGTATCTAGCCAGTGAAATTGAAAGGAGTATTTAGCAGAAAAACTAACTAGAAATGACCAGTGAAACTAGAAAGAGTGCTATTTTATAAAAAGCGATTCGTTGCTAGTCTGCTAGTATGTTGTGCTTATGAGGCATCATCAGTATATAACTGGAGCTTATTTTAATGAGGTATAGCCTAAAACTTCACCAAATCAGAAAACTATACCGAGCCCAAGCAAGATAGCACAAGGTTCGAAGAGTAACACTACCAGTATATTAACAACGCTAAAAACGATTGTGAAGAAGGACTTCCTTTCACTAAAAGATGAACCAGAAAAAAAGCAGTAGACATCAGTTAATCCAGACGCTAGAAGAGACTTTATAAGCTTCAAAGGCCCCACTATGCAAACCTCAAAGCTTTTAGTGCCACTCTAATAATTCCATACTAACTTAAAGTTTGACATAAAGCCACTAACTAAACTAGTCTTACTGTATCCAAATACTTTATCTTATCTTAAAGCCATCCCTTCGATGTCAGTGTTCTAGTATTATTTCCTATTAGAGTAATTAGCCTTTGTTAAACCTTTCACTCTTCATAAATATGCATTTGCTGGGGATAAACTAGCTTCTTCTTAGAGCTTTTTTATCTAATAAACTATTTATCTCAAAGACCACTCTTAGCTCAGTAGCTAGAGAATTACTCCATTGTAGAATTCACTCCCCATCCTTAAGTTAGTATAAGTAGTTTTTACTAAGAAGACTGGGTTTAAGATCATATATACTTCTCGATCCCACGCCAAACTAAGATATAAGTTTGTTAAAATCTTATATATTAGTTGACTTATGACTAGATTATTGTCTACTTAATTTATGTGGGTAGTAACTGGATAATTTTAACATGCAAGTTTTAGTAGAAACCAAGATTTAGTATTTTAGTTAAAACATTGTTAATGAATTTATTTAGTGCGTTAGTAAAATTAGTTTTTGGAAAATTGAAAATTATTACTTGGATATGCACTAGTAAAAAAGTACTATTCCTTTAGGAATCATGTTTAACTCTTCATGTTACAATAGGGTGGCCAAGTTATTGGAAAGAGTCATATCTTTGCTCCGTGGGAAGAAACTATAAATTTTCACTATACCAGCTTGGAGGTAGCCAAAATTTACTCTTCAGCACTAAGTATTTTACTCAAAGTATCCAAATATTCTTTGAAAAAGAAAGAAGAAAATTTTATAAAAATAATATTACTAACTACAAAACAAAGTTTTAAAAAAAAAATAGCAGAATTTTCCTTGAAACCTTCGTTTTTAAGGACTTAACAATCGTTGCACGTGGACTATTCATTCGTACATTGACCAACTTTCACCTTAGCTAACTCTGTTATGCGTTTTGAAAATGCCAAAACCGTTTTTCCCCGATCGTTTTTTTATTCCTCGCATAACAGAGGCATCATTATTCTACCTATATTTCTTAGAAATTCATTTTAATTACATTTATTCTTTTTGGTTAATCTTTAAAACACAAATGTAAATTCGAGCATTTTCCTTTTACTACTTTATATTTTCATAGCAAAACTATTAAACTATAACCTTTTTTTTTAAAATAATTAAAAACTATTAAAAAAATTTTTAGTATATTAAACGTAGGAAAGAAAAGGATCCACACTTCATAGTTAACTACGCAAGAGATTGCTCTGCCATAGTGATATTACTATTATGTTTATAATTATATATTTTATATTTAATAATTATAATCATAATTATATTTATTATTAATCTTTTTAATTTTGGAGTAATTTTTAACAAAAATTTTTACTTAAATAGACCAACTATTTAATTAAAACTTATGCAAACCAATATTCGCGTCTTCCTAAAGCTAATATTTCAGCAGGAATCAAAAAAGGCACTTTCTTTCACATTAAAATATATTTATTAAATAATAAAAAATATACTTAACTTTTATAAAGCTTTAATCTACATTGAAAATCACAAGGAAATTATAAAATTAAAAGATGAATCAATTGAGGGAACAAATGAATTAGTACAAAGCGTTTTATTAGGGCGAGATTTATTACTAATTTTAAAAAAAAAAATTTATTTGAGTTTATAATTTAGTAATACTTGCGTAAATTTTTTATAATAATCGTTAGATTTAATTAATTTATACTTATTTGTAATTTTTTTATTTTTAATTGTGCGTTAAGACAATTCTTTATTACATATATTTATTGCCGCTCTGTGATTTTTTAAATCTTAAAAAATAATTTTTTTTAATTTCATCGAAATACATATTAAAAAATTTTCTAACTAAGTTTTTGTGAGTTCCATAAAAAAATTTACTTATAAAATCTATATTTTTAAATTTTTTTTAATCCTATTTATAACAAATAGAGAATCTTCGAGTGAGGTTGAATGCGAAAACAAAGTTATAATTTCCAGCTCATTAAATGATACTTTGTTACACACTTACTCTCAACAAGTTATTAATAATATTAGTTACAATAATAACCTTAATAACAACAAAAATATAGAATTCAGCTTCCTCAAAAAGATTGAAACATTCATCAACTGCGCTGAAAAATTTTAAGAAAAAAAGAAAACTTTTTTTTAATAATTCATTACATGTTGAAGAAAGTAATTATTATTATTATTATCATTATTTTATTATTTTATTACTATTGTTATTATTACTACTATTATCATTATAACAAAAGGCTTTAACTTTGGAATACCATCTTTAACTTTCTCGGATATTGGCGGGATTGAAAACTGTTTACAGGTTTTTTTTATATAAGTTCCAGTGTACTAATAAGTAATAAGTAATAATAATAATAATAAATAATAATAATAATAATAATAATAAAAGGATATTCGGGAATTGATTGAATATCCAATTACTCATCCCGAAATATTTTCTCAACTCGGCATTGAACCTGGTTAGTTGTAAGCCAATCATTAATCAGTATTGACGCCCATCTTCCAGTAGTTCCCTAACAATTTGGATCAAAAAGTTTAATATGGCGCACAATTTGTTCTTAATATGGAAATCTTGCACTTTTTTATATCGATTTTCCGCTTATTAACTTTTGCTTAACATAAAAAGTTTGCTAGAAAAGTTTATTATTATTTATTGACTTTTTATAAAAAATAAAACCTTTTTTAAAACTATAAAAATAATTAAATATAAAGTTTTACTTTTTTAAAAAAACTTTTTAGTGTTTATTATTAAATATAACGTTTATCTAAGTTTTATATATGTTTGCATTATCATTATTATATGTTTATTCCATTTCTTATAATTATATTATTAATTCATTATTAGTATTTTCATTTAATAAAAATATTATTTTTTAAAAAAATTTTTGTTTTTATTATATTTAAAATGTTTTATTGGAATTATAAATATTAATTAAAATAATATCGCATTTATTATAAAAAGTTTTATATTTTTTACTATAAGTATTGATAATAATATTATAATAAATAATATTTATCATTATAGAAAGTTTAATATTTTTTTATATAAATTATTTTAATAATAATATATAAATAAGAATACTAATTATCATTATAAAAACTATATATTTTTTATCATGTTTTTATAAATATAATTTTATTAATGATATATAAATATTATAAGTAAAACTAAGAATATGTATATTTAAAAGTGTTTTATACTTTATTAAATAGTTTTTATAAATATAATACTGAATAAAAATGTTATTGAAGTATTACTCATAATACTTTGTTTTGTAAAGTATAAATATAATTTTATTATAATAAAAAAAGTAATTTTTTTTTTATTTGTAATGTTTTTTATGATTATAAGTATAAACTAAAGTATTATTAGAAAAAGATTAATATTTTATTATGGAATATATATTTTATGAATATTATATATAATTAAAAATATTTTATAGAAAGTTTATATTTATATTTAAAATTTTTTTTTGTAAGTAATATAACCATGAATAAATATATTAAAAGGTTTATACTTTTTTTTATTGAAAGTTTTTTATTATTACTTGTAAATGACAATATTATTTTAAAGTCTTATTTATCTTATTATTGAATATGTTTTTTATGAAATATTATTTATTGTTATAAACATTGATTATTATAAAAAGTTATTTATATAAAATATTATTAAAAGTTTCATATTTTCTTATTTAAATTTTTTATGAATATTATCAGTATAATAAAAATATTGATTATTATAAAAAAAATTTCTTAATGTTTTTTGTAAGTATTATAAATATATAATAAATATTTATTGTTATAGAAATTATTAACATTTTGTTCGAAATATTTAGAGATATAAATAAAAATACCGATATAATATTATTATTATTATATTATATGTATGAAATGTTAATATATAAATTAATTGTATTTTTTTATAAAATTTTATAAATATGAATAATAAAATATTTATAATTTAAGAAGAAATATATAAATATAAGTCTTAATAATAAGTTATTTTTTACTAAAGTTTCATGAAGAGTGGAACTTAATAATAATAACGTCATCATTATTTGTTATGAGCAATAAAAACGCACCAAAATGTTCCCGAGTATTTGTAGCATGTGTTCTACAGGTGTACGACACTATTATTATTTGGGACATTCTCGAACTTTTTAAATTCATATAGAAGTTGTCAAACTAATATTTATTAGAAAAAAGCGAAATTTATATACTTTTTTTTATTGGTATCATTAAATTATAGTAAATAAAAATTTAATGGATGAATAATTATTATTCTTAATTTATTGGTTAACTTCCACGCAGCACGTGGTATTCTCCTGCACGGCCCACCTGGTTGCGGAAAAACCATGCTGGCGCATGCAATTGCTGGAGTACTTTATTTTTTATGTATTTTTTATTTCTTTTATAATTTTTAATGAAATGTATTTTTGTCTAATAAATATTTGATTACTTTTTTTTTACAATATTTTATATCTTATTACGAAATTATTATTTTTTTATGCGATAAATACTATTTTTACTGATACTAAAGTATTTATAGTTACTTTTATGCAATAAAAGAGTTTATTTAAACGTAAAATATTATGTATTTACTTTTTTATAGTTTCAATTATTATTAATTTTATATATCAATAATATTATTATTATATAAAATTAATAATAATAATCGTAATAATACTATTCAAGGAGCTTCGCATACCGCTCTTAAAAATATCTTCACCCGAAATTGTTTCTGGCGTGTCCGGCGAGAGCGAAGCAAAAATTCGTCAATTTTTTAAAGAAGCGAAACGATTGGCTCCTTGTTTAGTTTTTATCGACGAAATTGATGCAATTACACAAAAACGTGAGACAGCTCAGCGTGAAATGGAACGGCGAATCGTTGCTCAGTTTCTCACTTCCATAGATGGTAATTGGTTATATATTAGTTATTACTATTATTTAATGTTGACGTATTATTTATTTATATATAATTATTATTAATTATTATTATTTATATATTTTTTGTTCTTGTTCTTATAATTATTATTATTTATTTATTCTTTTTTTTGTGTTATTAGTTTATTATTATTTTTTTTTTTCGAAAATTATATATTAATAATTATTTATATTCACTTTTATTTACTTATAGTTACTTGTTATTAGTTTTATTTATCATTCATGTTTATTTATAAGTTATTATTATTTATCTTTTTATATATTTAATCTGTATATTATTGCTTTTTTTATATAACTTACGAGGTTTTATTATTATTATCACCTGTTTTATGCATAATATTTTTCTATGTTATCATTTATTAATATTTATATTTATTTTTATTCCTTTATTTTATTTATAATGTAAGTTATTATAGATATTATTGTCATTAAGATTATTCATAAGTTATTTATTATTATTTTTACTGTTACTCTTTCATTTATTTATATATTACTGTCATATTATTATAGTATAATTAAATATATTTACTAAAGTTGTATACTTTCTTGAGATTATCATTATTTATATAATTAAATTATTAGTATCTATTATTATTATAGTCATTATTATATTTATTTTTACAATAAAACAACTTTTGTAAGTAAACAATATTATTGTTATTATTATTATATTAAAGAAATTATTTGATATATTATTTTTATTATTAATATTTTTTAAAGAATTCGTTTATTATATTATTATTTTCATTAATATTTATATCTATTAACACATTTATTTTAATTAATAATTTTTTTTATAAATAAATTTATTTAATACTAATTTTATGGCTGTTTATAACTTTTAACATTATTATTAGTACTTATATTTTTTATAAAAAAATTTTATTACTATTAATTTTATCACTCTTTATACTTTTAACATTATTATTAATATTTAAATATTTTATGAAAAAAATATTATTTATATATTAAATTTTTTTTTTAATTCTTATTAATGACTTTTTACGATATGAATATTATTTATAGTTTAAAAAAAATTTAAATTTCTTTATATCAACTCATTCCTGTTCGTAACTTTTAGCTATATTATTACTACGATCACTATTTATATTGTTTTATTATTTTTAAATATATTATGAATTTTTTTTATAATGTTAATATTATTATAAATAATAGCTTAATATTTATCTTTTCGTACTGTTATTATAAGTGCTATAAATAATATTATCACTTTATATTATATCTAATTACCAATATTAAACGTTTTACATGTAATAAATTATTATTACTTTGAATATTTTATTATTAATATTCTTATCACTTTGTATGGTTTCATGATTGTTACTATTTTCAAAATTTGTGTAATAATATCATTTTCTACTAATATTATTATTTCGTTATTTTTTGGGTTTTATTTTTATACTGTTGAATTAGTGTATTACTAGATTGCTTTTATTAATACAATTGCTATTTTTTTAATTTTTATATTTAGAGCTCGCTCTTGAAAATTCTTATGAAAAACTTGTATTAATAATAGGGGCTACCAATAGACTCGATTCTCTAGTTTATTATTTATTTTTTAATGAATATATTTTATTTTATATTTATTTTGTATTATATTCTTTTTTTTTTTTACTTCATTAAAGTTTATTTATAAAGAACGGCAAATTATACACAAATTTTCATTATTTTAAATAAAAACCTGAAGTACATGAAATTTAATGTATTAACATTTATGAACCCAATTAAATTATATGAAAATTAATTTTGCTTCTTTTTATTAATTGAGTAACCTTTAATAATAATTAATAATATTAAAAAAAAGGGATAATAATGGTAGTAAATAAGAAAATAGTGATAATAATAATATTAAATATAAAATAAACTTGATATATTACTTGATAATTTTAGTATCAAATAAATATATTTCTATAATATAAAATCGATATAATAATATTTATTAGAACCTATAAATATTGTTAATAAATTAAAAATAAATAATAATAATTAATAAGTAAATATAATTATAAAATAAAAGTATAAAAATAATTAATAAATATACATAAATATTAATAACGATTTATAAATGAGTACTAATAATGATTATTAGATAAAAGTCTAGTAATAATGAAAAAAAAATAATATTAATATGAATTTAAAAATGAATTATAATAATAAAATATTAATAAAAATAAACAATTTAACAATGAATAATAATAATAACTTTCAAATAAAAGTTTAAAAATTACTATTAAAAAAATACAAAATTTATTAATAATAAATATAAAATAATACTTTTAAAATAAAAGTTAATAATAGAAAAATATTAAAAAAATTTAAAAATGAATAATAATAATAAATAAGTAAATATATTATATTTATAAATATAATAATATTTATTTAAATAAATGATAACCAATAACAATTTAAAAAAGGCTACTAATGAAAGTTAGTAAATAAGTAAATTAATAATAATAAATAAATAATAATATTAGCAATAATATATAATTAATAAGTTATTATATTAATATAAATTATCTAAAAAAAATTAATGTAAGGTAAATAATAGTAAATATTTATAATAAATAATAATTAGTAGTCATAATGATTAATAAACTTTAAAATTATTTAATATTAGTGAATAGTAATAATTATACAAAATGTTATAGAAAATAAAAGTTATAATAAAAATGATAATTATAACAAACTTTAAATTTTTATAATAGTAATAATTATATATAAATTTTTATAATAAATATTAGTTATAATTATAATATAATAGTATTAAATATATATCGTTATAATAAATAGTAGTTATAATGATAATAATAACCTAAAAATATATATATATAGTAGTAATAATTATATAAATTGTTATAATAAATAGTAGTTAAAATAAATAATAAACTTCAAAATAGATTATAGTAATAATTATGAATATTTTTATAATAATTAGTAGTTATTAAAATAATAATAAAGCTTTAAAATTATTAAATAGTAACAATTATTCCAATTCTTATATTATTAATTGTAATAATAATAAACTTTGAAAATATCTTATAGTAATAATTAGATACATTCCTATAACAAATAGTAGTTATAATAATAATATTTATAAATTTAAAAATATTTAGTTGTAATAATTATTAATATTGATTAAAAAATTTTTATTAATAAAAAAATCAAAGTATATTTTAATTTTTTATAACAATTTATATATAATTAATATCAAATAATACAAATAAAAATAAATAATAATGGAAAAAAAAACCTTAAAAAATAATTATTAGTTATTACTAAAAATAATGATAATAATTTTTATAATAAAAAATAATAACAAAAATGGTTTAATTAATATATAATATTATATATAAAGCAAAACAAAAATAATTTTAATATTTTATAAATATTTTATAATAATAATTACTATAAGTTAATATTATATTTAATAACTAAATATAAATATTAAATTTATAATAGTAGTTAATAAACATTTATAGTAATTATTATTATAATTATTATTAAAGATTATAATTAGTGAAATTAATATTAATATTTTATATATTATAGTAAACATATATGTATTTCAACCTTTATTAATAATAATTAATAAATTTTCTATTTTTAGTAGTAAATATAATAATAATATATTATATATGGATAAAAAAAATAAATAAACATAAACGTTATAAATAATTATAATGATTGTAGTTATTTGAAATTAATAAATATTTACTTATAAAAATGATAATATTTATTATATATTTTATATTAAATAATAATTATGAAACTTTTAACGTACAGGACTCTGCACTCCGCCGGGCCGGTCGCTTTGATAGAGAGATTTCTATTGGCTTTCCTGATGAATCTTCAAGAGAAAAGTTTTTAAAAATAATGATAACATTAATATTAATACTAATACTAATACTAATAATAATACTAATACTAATAATAATAATAATAATAATAATAATAATAATAATAGAATTTTGCGAGTAAAATGCAATCGTTTACGATTGGATGCTACTGTTGACTTTCCACTACTCGCTAAGAAAACTTCAGGGTTATTTTTATTTTATATTTATTATTATTTATTATAATATATTACTATTTACTAAAAATATACCCATATCAATAACATTACTTACTTTTTTATTACATTTTTCATACACGGATATACAATACCCGCAATATTATTATATAATATATATAATTTTTAGTTTTTAAAATGGTTTAAGGGGTAATATTTAGTTAAGTTAATTAAGTTGTAATTTTCATTACCGTTATTATTATTGACTTTTCTATATTTATTATAGATAATTAACTTATGCATTATGACTATTTATTATCATTATTTTTATTTTATAATATTTATTAAAAATGATAAGAAGTCTACTTAAATCTCGTAATTGTTATATATTTTTTTATGTTTATAATATATAGCATTTTTATTTTTATTTATATATTTATAGTTTTGTGGGGGCTGACTTGGAAGCGCTCACCAAGGAAGCTGGAATATTTGCTATTAACCGCGTTTTTAAGGATTTTTCATTAGAAAAAGTTTTGTTATCATTGCTATTATTATTGTTACTACTTCTAATTTATTTCTATTATAATTATTTTTACGTAGGAAAATAGTTTCGGAGAAGAAAAAGAATTAAAAAAAGTTTAATTCTTATAATAATTATAATGATTATTATTAGTACTACTACTATTATTGCGTAGGATAATAGTTTTGGAGAAGAAAAAGATATTCTCTTCCAGGAAGCAAAAGAAAACGTATGTTTCCTTTTTTTTTAAGTTTATACATTTTCATATTGTTGTTATAATATTTATTTTATTATAATTTTTTTTTTCATTTATATTATTTTTTAATAAACTTTTATATTATTATACTTATTAATATTATATTTAAGTGTAATAATTATATATATAATTTTGAAATTATTATTATTTATTATTTTAACTATAATATTTATTATAAATGAATATCTCTTTAAAATTTTTATGTACTTTTTATTAACTTTTTGTTAATATTATATTATATTTTAATATAATATATTATGAATGTATAAAATTTATTTATTCCATTTATATTTATACCTTTTTAAATACTAGTTTATATATTATTATTATAGTATTTATTCATTTTATTTATTGATATTTAATAATAAATATTCTATTTTTTTTTTTATGTTATTATATAATATTTTTTTTATTATATTTAATAACTTTAAATATAATATTATTTTCCAAAATATATTTTTATTATTATATTTATATATTTATATTTTTATATTATTTTTTCTTATAAATTTTTGATATATAACTTTTTATATTTCACTATTATATTTTTCAAAATAGTTATATTTTTCTTGTTATTTATATATTAATATCTTTTGTTTATACTACAAGCATAATATTTATTATTTATATATTTATATTATATATATTTTTTGGAAGTATGTATTATATATAATAATGATTAATTTATTTTATTTATTATTTTTCTTTAATTTATTAAATATTATATTTATTATTATTACATTATTTATTTTATAGTTATTTAACTTATTTTTATTTTATTTTTTTATTATTACGTTGAAATTATTTTTTTTGATCTTTTTTTTTAATATTATAATTATTATTTTATAATTAATTTTACAAGTTTTACTTATTAAATTTTATCTATATTTATTTTTATTATTTTTTAAATTTTATTAAAAAATTTAATAAACTTTATTATATTATATTTAATTTTTTACTAAACCTTGTAAAAAAAAAATTTTCTCATCTCCTTTTCTTCTCTGCTTTGTTTTTTTATATATTTTTTATAATTTTTTTTAATAAATATTTTTTATTAGTTTATTTATTTTTTATTATATTTTACTTATTTTTATTATATATTTTCTATTGAATATTATTATTTATATTTTTAAATTACTTTTTACTTACATATTATCAAATTTGAATATATATGTTTTAATATATTTTTTAGTGTATAATTTTTTTTATTCAATAGTATTATTTTTTTTTTTATTATAGTAGAACTTTTATTTCTCTTATATCTTTAATATATTATACATTTTATATTATTATATTTATTCTATTCTATTATATATATATTTTTTTGGTTATTACTTTTATAGATATATACTTATATTGTATCTTTATTACTTGTTTATTATAAACTTCTTTTAAAATATTTATTATTATTTATGTCGTTTTTGTTTGTATTATTATTAGTTGTTAACCCTAAATTTTTACAAAATTATTATTATTATTTCTTTATTATAATCTAATATCATTTTTATTTTTCTTTTATGCACTTTTTTGTAATTATTACTATTTTTGTTAAAACAAGTTTTATTATTGTTAATTATAAACTTCTGCATATAAATATTTATTTTTTATTACAAACTTTTATGTAATTATTGTTACGTATGCTTTTATTATTATTATTAGTTAAATATAAACTTTCACATTATTTTTTTCTATAAACTTTTATATAATCTTTTATTATTTTTATTAAAAAAAGTTTTTATTATTTTAATTATAAACTTTTACATATTCTTATCTTTTATTAATTAAAAACTTTTATATAATTGTGATGATTATTATTACTATTTATGTTATTTTGTAGGTATTATTATTTGTTTATCATAAACTTATATATATATTATTATTATTCGTTAAACATAAACTTTTTTTATATATAAATTATTATTTTTTATTTGTTTATAATAAACTTTTGTATATATCTTTTTTTATTAGCGTTCCTTATCTCGTAAACTTTATACATTACTATTATTCGTTTTTTGTAATCTTTTATTCGTTTAATTATAATTCGTTTCTCGTTAACTTTTTTTTATATAAATTATTACTATTCGTTACTCATAAACTTTTATATTATTTTTATTATTACTATTGATATATTATTGTAAATTTTCTTAGTTTCTTGTAAACTTTTATGTTTTGTTTATAATTATATATTTTTATCACTATTTTATTTATTATATTTTTTTTTAAGAAAAATATTAAAGATCGCTTAAAAGCCCGGGCAGTCCTTCAGTCGTTCGGCAGGCGGCCGCTCAATGTGCGCGAACTTTCGCTTTTATATATCAATATGGACGACTTTCTATTGGCTCTTTCTAAAGTCCAGCCGTCCGCCAGAAGAGAAGGTCAGCCAATTACTATTGTTATAAAAAATATATACAAAAAAGTGTATTAGTTAAAGGGACACGTGATTATAATATAATTAATATAATAATTATAGTAAATAAAGAAAGTAAAGACTATGAAAAGGTAAATTTATTATTATTATTTCCATTATAAATAAATAATATTTTATATTTACGAACTTTTTATACTATATAATAAAAAATATATATAAAAAATTAAATTTTTAATAATTAATATTAAAACAAAAGTTATAAAAAGTGGGATTGTAAAAATAAAATATAAATATTTAGAAAAACGTAAAATATAATAATATATTAATTATTATATTAGTGTAATATATATATTATAATATAAATAATTATATATATAAAATAAAATAAAAATATAATGATAAGAAATAAATTTAAAAATATTGTATGATATAATAAATAATATTTATATAATAATTAACATTTGAGACCACAATAATATAATACATTAAAAGTTTATAACATTTGTATAATCACAATAATGTACTATCACTTTTTTATATGAAGAAAAAATATTTTCGTATAACAAAAATCTTATATAAATATTTCATATAATAATAAGAAATCTATAAACTTTCTATCAATTTGTTTATATAATATTGAATAAAAGGCTAACTTTTTAAATATAATAACAACAAATAAGAAGCAAAAATAAGTTATATAAGATAAATAATTATTTGAAAAGTTTATATATATCCTATATAAATAAGAAAACTATAAACTTTATATCAAAAAATTAGTTTTTTAAGAAATAATAAATGAAAGATTACAATTTTTAATTAATAAAATTATAAATTTTTTATATGAAGCAAAAATGCTTCTTATAACAATAAAATAATAATCTAAAAAGTTTATAATTCCATATAATATAAAAACTATAAACGTTCTATAAATTTTTTTTTTATAATACTATTAAATAAAAGTTTAACTTTTTAATTATAATAAAACTAAATTTTTTAATATGAAGCGAAATATTTTATATATAATATAATAAAAATGTAAAAAGGTTATAATTTCATATAACATTAAGAAAACTATATACTCTTATAGAAAAAATATATTTATTTTATAATAATATATAAAAAGTTTATAACTTTTGACATAATATTAATAAAACCATAAACTTTTCATATGAAGCAAAATTTTAAAAGCAATATAAAAGTAATAAAAAGGTAAGAAACATAAATATATAAAGACTTGAAAAATTTAGCAGGAAATGTATATAAAAAGGGTACTAAAAGATATTAATTATAGAATATAATAAATAAAGTACTATAAAAGTTATAATGAACTATGAAACAACGAATATAAAAAAAGAAACAAAGCAAGAATATATTGTACAAAGTATTTTGTTATCATAAAATTATTGGATATATATAACTATTAGTAAAAAATAAATTATTATGAATTAAAATGGTTAAAGAAGTATAAATGTAATAAGAAAGTTGTTATAATATATTAATATATAACAAAAGGAAGCAAAAAAATATAAATACAATAATATTAACGAAATTAAATTTTTTTATTAAAAAATTTATTAAATAAAATTATGAAATTATCCAATGAAGTTACCCAAATAATAATTTGACCCAATAATTTTTTAAAGCTGAAAATTTACTGAATTTTCAATTTTTACAGAATATTGTAATAATATATAGATACTAACAAAATTGATTTAATAGAAATATGAAAAAAAATTCGACCCCCAACAATTTTATAGCTAAAAATTTACTGGAAAATAATTAAAATTAATTTTTCAGGGTTTGCCACGATTCCGGACGTCACGTGGGATAACATTGGAGCCCTCAAAGATATACGAGAAGAGCTAAAGATGAACATTCTTGAGCCCGTGCGCGCTTTCTCCTATTTTATTTATTTTATTATATTTATTATTTCTAATTATATTATATACCAAAATATATTTTAATCTTTATTTTTTTTTCTGTTTTTATTATATCTTTTATATTAAAAAAATATTTTACTGAATATTTTATTATTATAGTATTTACTTTATATATTTATTCTTATTACTGATTTATTTATATATTGAAGATATATTCTATTTAATATTTATTGTAGATATTAAGAATATATTTTATTCGCTATTTATTTTTATTTTTATTATTTTTTTTAAAAATTAAAAATTTATTGTATATTATATGAAAAGTTATTGCATTTGTTATATATTTTTTTATATTTTACAGTTAATAATATTTTTTATTCCTTTTTCAACTTTTTCTAGAATATTTTTATTAAATAAAATATTTTATATATATATTCATTTCATAAAAATGCAGATCCGCTTTCCTGAAAAGTTTATAAAAATTGGCATATCACAGCCGCTCGGTTGCCTTCTTTATGGTTATTTATTATTATTATTATTGTTATTATTATTATTATTATCATCATCATCATAAAAGTCGATTTACTACAATTTTGTATTAAAATATTTTCCTATAATCTAAATATTACTTTTCTTAGTAAAATTTTGTATTTTTCAAAAAAGTTAGTAAAAAATCTTTTAACTTTTTCATATTAATTTGTTACGTATTCAATAATTATAAATCTTTTATTTTTTTCCAACTTTCTAAATATTTTATTAAAAGTTTTAAATAACTTTTTTTCTTATTATTATAATTTTTAATGATTTAAAATATATTTTTATTGACTCACTAAAGTTATTGAAAAAAATTATATTTATTATTAAATAAAGGAAAATCTTTTTTAATTATATTGTTATTACTATTAATTTATTAAAATTTTAAATTTTGCGTATTGTTCGTTAAAGTTATTGAGATTTATTATAACTTTACTGAGTTGTTATTATATATAATTAAAAATCCTTTTTAAAATATTTTACTGTTATTATTTTGTGTATTTGTTTTCACTAAAGTTATTGAAAATAATTTATAAGTTTTTTAATCAGTTTTATTATAAATAAGTAATTTTTTTTTTTTAATATTATCTCTTTATATTATTATTAAAATTGTTTTTAAAAGTTGAGTATTTTTCATAAGTTTATTGCAATATTTTTTTAAAATTATTAATTTATTATAAAGTTGTGCATTTTTCTTTAAAACTATTGAAATATGTTTGGAATATTATTATTTTATTACAAAATTATGATCTTAAAAGTTGTATTTCTCATGTTTTGCTTTTGTTCTGCATTATTACGATTATTATAATTTAAAACTTCGTATATGCTGCTTACCTTCATTTTTTTTTGCACACGTCAGGCCCTCCAGGCTGCGGAAAAACACTTTTAGCGAAAGCCATTGCCAATGAAAGTGGCGCCAGTTTTATATCTATAAAAGGGCCAGAGTTACTAAATAAAGTGATTTCCGTATATTATAATTATTACTATAATTATGTACACTTTATTATATTTATAATAAAACTTTCATTATTTTTATCTTTTACCCATTTTTTTTCTTAATATTCTATAATTTTTTTAAAATATATAATTATTAAACTTAAGTTATTATTTTTAAATAATAAAGTTTAAATTTTTAAAGTGTTTATATCTTATGCCTTCTGTATTCTACAATATTACTTTTTTGAATAAAGTTTTATATTATTTTGTTTAATTGTTATACTTTTAAAAAGATTCGTTTTAAAGTTTGATATATTTCTAACTTTTTATTTTTTGAAAACTTTTTATTATAAATAAAAATATATAATATTAATAATTTTCTAATTATTATATTATTATTAATTTTCAATATTATATTATTTATTTTATTTATCTATTACTATTTCATTATTATTATTTATTTTATATTTTAAAAAAAAATTTCACATGACCAGTATGTAGGCGAGAGTGAGCGCTCGATTCGGCTAGTCTTCGACCGCGCGCGCATCTCCGCTCCGTGCATTATTTTTTTTGACGAATTGGATGCTCTGTGCCCCAAAAGAGGCTCCGAAGTACTTTTTTCTTTTCATTATTACTATTATTCTGTTATTTATTATATTTATTTTTTTTTCTTTATAATAATTATTACTATAGTTTCTTTGTTATTATTTTTTTGTATAGTTTCCTGCTGTTCACTATTTTTGATGCACTATTATATTTTTATTGGTTTTTAAGTACAACTTTTTTGGTAGAGTATTTTATTTTTTTGCTTTCTTTTAAAGTTATTACTATTTAGAGTTTTATACTTAAATAGTTTTTTTATTACTTTTCTAAAAAGTTTTTACCTTATGATTTTTAATAAATTTCACTTTTCTAGATAATTTTTTTATCATATATCTTTTCCCTATTTGGTATTCCTTTTTAAAACAATTTATTTTAACTTTTCCCTAATTCCTAAACTATTCCTTTTTAATAAAGTTATTATTAATATTAGTAGTTTGACTATTACATTTTTCACTATTTTTGTTATTAATTATTTTTATTTGATTTTAACAAAACTTCACAATTATTTCTTTTTTAAAACTTTATTTTTTGGTCTCTTTATATTTTACTGCTTTTCAGTTTCTTTGTGTTTAAATTTTTTATACTCTTTGGTATTATTCTAAATATTTTTTTAAATAAATTTTCACAAATTTTTCTGAATTTAGGAAATATTTTATTGAAGTACAAAAAATTTTATGATATTTATATATATATATATATATATAGTTCAGTTATAAACTTTTTCTTTGACTTTTTTTTTTATTTCATTTTTTTTCCTCACGAGAACGCTGCAAGTGTTCGCGTGGTAAATCAGCTTCTTACAGAAATGGACGGATTGGAGCCTCGTAAGCAAGTGTTTGTGATTGGCGCTACCAACCGGCCAGGTTTCACCAATAGCAATTAAAATAAATCTCTTCATTAATATTGACACGCACACGAAAGGCATTATTGTTTATTTTGCTTAAGAAATAAAGTTAAAAGTTATTATTGATAGTAATTTGCCAACAATTTTATTATTTATAAAAAAATATGGACAATTATTAATATCTTCATTAATATTTAGAATTTTTTTATAAACTTTTTTCAATGTTGTGAACATTATTATGAAAATATACGATATTTATTAATATTTTTTGCTACATACTATTTATTTACAAAAATAAAAAAAAAGTTGCCAACATTATTATTATTAATATAACCTTGAAAATATAATATATTATAATATATTTTTAAAATATTTTCATTTACAATTTTTTAATGAAGTTACTAAAATTTATTAATTTATAAATTATTATTATTATATTAAAAAATAGTCTTATTCATAATAAAAAATTCACTAAAAATAAAAAGTTATAAACTATTTTAATATTTTTTCAATTTGTCAAAAAATTTTAAGATTTTTTTCATTAACTTTTTCATAACGAAAAAGGTAATAAATATATAAACTCACTAGAAATGAGGACCTTAAAATAAACTTTTATTGTATATATTATATATTATGTAAATGTGATTAGTTAAAAAATTTATCTGTAAATTATAAAATCAAATTTTATTATGAAAAAATGATATAATAGTGAAAAAATTTTTACTTGAAATTTTTATAATCTCAAATTTTATAATGAAAAAAATAATATATAATAGATATGATCGACCCTGCAATGCTGAGGCCCGGCCGCTTAGATAAACTCCTCTTCGTCGATTTGCCTTCTCCCGAAGTTCATTATTATTTTAAATATATAGAAATATATAGTAAACAATATTATAATGAAGTATAATAGAGAAATAAAATATATTTTGAAATAAAAAAAGTAAACAAAAAATATTTATTATAATAGAAAAATTATATTTAAGAAATAAAATAAATATATATATAAATAATATAAGTACTCAAATAAAAATATTATTGCAAAGTAAATATTAATATATAGTAAACAAATTTATTATTAATAAATCAAATAAACAAAGTAAAAATTGTATGAAATTTATAGTAAAATAAATATAATACATATAAAGTAAACATTCAAAATTATTAAATATCGTAACACAAAATAATAAACAAATAAATAACTACAAAATAAATAAAGTAAAAAAAATGAGATATACTAATATATTAAAATTTTAATAAATAAAGTTTTTCGTTATAATAGTAATATTTATGATAAATTTAAATAAAATTTGAGGAACGTTTATGAAATTCATTGTTTTTAATGAAATATTTTATTATTTCAGGACCGTATTAGTATTTTAACAACACTCACTAAAAAAGTGCCACTAGCCGAAACGGTCCAAATAAGCTTTTTCGCTAAAGATAACCGCTGCGAAGGTTTTAGGTATTGTTAATATTCTTCTTATGATGATTGTTACTATTACTATTATTATCATTATTTATTATTATTATTTCTATTATTTTTTGATTTTTTTATGTAATTCATTATGTTTACTACTATTATCGTTTTATATTTTTAATTATTATTATATTTATTATTTTTATGATATCTTTATTATTACAAGTATTATTTAACTATGTATCATATGATATTTCTTTTTGTTATAATAATATTAATTTATTATAAATCCCGTTTATATTATTACTATTAGCGGAGCTGATTTGGCCGCCCTTGTTCGGGAAGCCTCAATTACTGCGTTAAAGGAAAGCATACAAAACAATAGTGAAGTTTTAATAACCAATCATCATTTTGAAGTTGCCTTTCAGAAAGTTTTTCCTTCTGTATCTGAAAAGGTTTTACCTATATAATAATAAGTATACTACAATAATAATAATAAAACTTTAGGACCAGAAAATATACAAGACTCTAAAAATGAAACTTTGTAACGCACGTGCTCATTTACGAGACGAAGATGAGCGTGCAATGTCCCCTTCTAAATAGTTCTTTAATAAACATAATTATTGTTGTTACTTTCATTATAAGTATTGAATTTCCAAAAAAAAAAAATGGAATTTAGAAATATTTGTAAAAAATTTTTTTGGAGAATTATTTATTTTATTTTTTTTATTTTTATTAAACTTTTAAAGCGCATCAAACGATTGAAGAATTGATGAACTTTTCTTTTTCAGTTTCGAAAGTCTAAAAAAATTATTTATTAGTATTTATTAGAAATAATATACAAATATATATAATACATAATTATAAAGGTTTTATAGATTTATGTATTACATAAATTTTATAGCAAATTTAATTATTTATTTTAAAGAATTTATAAAAGTTTTCATTATACTATTTTTAATAAAGGTTATTACATAATTATTTTCGGTAATTTAGTATAAAATGTAATACATATTTTTGATTATATAGAAATATATAAGTTTTATGAATTATATTTGTGTATATCATAAATCATAGCATATATTTACATTATTATAATGAATAAATAAAGTTTTCATTATTTTAATTATAAACTTTAATAATAAAAATATTTATACATATTTACATTAAATTTTTTTATGACAAGTTTCAATATTTTTAAAAGAATTTACTAAAGTTTTCATTACTTTTATTATAACATACTCGTAAATATATTTTTAGTAAAATATATTTTTTTATAAAATATAAGCATTTATATAATAATTAACTTTTCAAAAATAAAGTTTATTATTGCATAATAACTATAAAAAATGGAAATACTTTTTTTTGTAATTAAGTTTTTTAAAATTCATTATTTTGGGATAAGTATAATGCAAAAACAATTTTTTAGTAGTTTAGCAAAAAAAATACAACATTAAAGTTTTTAGATAAATTTTATAACAAATATAAATAATTATTAAAACTTTTTAATAAATGTACATTATTAAGAAATTATAAGGATTACAAAAAGGCGCTAAAAAGTGTTTTTATATATATTGTTGGGTTTCATTAATATTATTATTAAGATGATGATTATTTTATTCTTAATATTACTTAATTTTAATAATTTTTACTAAAACTATTATAATTGTGACAATGATAAATAGTAAGCGCCACAAAAGGAAATCATATATTCATATTTTTTAATGAAATTTTCAATATTATCTTCATTCTTATTTAAATATGGATCTGCGAATTTATTTTTATTTATTATTAAATTCATATTTAGTTTCATCTTCATTTTATTTAAATGTTATAAAATATAATTCATTAAAGAAAAATATAATTTATAATTTATATAGTAATATTATTAAATAATAATAATAATGAAACGAGCAGACTTGTGACTTATGTATTCTTTATGGCTGGACGCCAAATCAATGACCGAATAGATCTGCGTGCAAAATTCTTCAACGCATAATTCGTGTTGGCGTTCATTTTGTTCAATTCTTTTTATGAAGTATTATATTAATAATTTTTTCAATGAGAAATATTAAATAGTAATAAACTGTATTGTGTATAAACAGAATAACGATAAACATTAAAGTAACCAAATATAAACTTTGGTTATACATAAAAAATAATGAAAGTTTTTACATATTTTTATTATATATAAAAGTAAAAATGATAATTTTTCTTTAAGATATTATAAATAATATCAAATTGAGTTAATATAAACGATATTTTATTAATTAATATAAATAATAATTATAATCATATATTATGTTTGTATATAAAAAATTATATAAATCTAAATATATTAAACACATTTATTCGATATATTAGAGTAAAGTAGAAGAATTTATAATAATAGTTTATTTAATATAAATAATATTAATATAAAACGTTATTAATAAAGGTATGTATATAAAATTTTCTTAGTTTCTTTTATAAATTAAAGTAAAATGATATTGTTTTATATATTAATATAAATATTATATTGAATGTTATAAAAAACAATACAAAAATAAATTTATTAAATATATTATTTTTAATATAAAGTTTAAAGTTTAATAAAAAAAATGATATAAATATTATATATAAAATAATAAAACTAATTTTTTATATACTAAACGTTACTAATATATCAAAGTTTACTATACAAAAGAGTTAAAATAATATTTTTTTATAAAGTAAAAAGTAAATTTTGAAAAAATATTTTGTAAAGCGTCTTTAAAGATTTTTTTTACTTTTATAAATAATTTTTAATTAATATTAAAAAAAATATAGTCTAGTGGAATTAGAAATTAAAGTTTTTATTTAAATTTATAATTATTAACGCAATATATATACCATTTATTAACAGTAATGAAGTAATAATTAATAAAAAATTATAAAATAAACAAATAGAAAAGTATCATAATTAAGAATCATTTCACAATATTCAAATTTTGTATTTTGTAAAATTTTTATTTTATATTAATAGACGAATTATTTTCATTTTGAAAATATTTTAATACAATAAAATAAAAAATAACAATTAATAAAGTATAATTTTATATATAATATAAAATTTTATATTAATTACTAAATTTATTTTTTTAAAATTTCTATATAATTTTTTTTACTTTATACAAACTCGTTATGTAGAGTTTTTTGTTATAATAAATAATAATAATAAATATATTACATATATTAAAAAAATTATTCATGTTTCTTAATAATTTTTTTATTATTTATTATTTCATACTTTTCTATTTTATTATTAAACAACTGAAAATAATTTTTTTATAATATAGTAATATATTTTCATATTTTTTTGTAATACTTTTATAGACCACTTAAAAATAATTTTTATAATTGATGATTTTACTAGTCTTTACCCCTATAGTAACTATAACTTATATAATGTAGTATAAAGTTGTATTATAAACTTTATGATATTATCATGAAGAGTTATTAAAGTCTTCAAAATACAGTAATAATATATCCAATATTTTTAAAGACTACTGGAATGCACCGCCAAAAAAAACGAAAAAAAAAGAACGTCGTTCGCGCGTCATGACAAATATATATAACATTTAGCCCTCGAGGGTTGAGCCCTTGTATACATAACATTAAAAAATGAAGAATAACGCAACTTATATGTAAAAATTAATATTTTTTTTTCTTATATGTTATTATATATTTATAAAAAAAAATTTCCAGGAAGTTATAGAAAAAATTATTTATAAAATAAAAAACACTTAATATCCGTGCTTTTAATACTTTAATGTTCTCAGTAATATTTTTATAATAATACTTTATTAAAAAATTTTTAAAAGGCGATAATAATAAAATTATTATATAACAAACTTAATAAAACAAAATAAAATTTTCTTATATATATTTATTTTAACTCGAAATTAAATTTAGTTTTTTTATATTAAATAGTATAATAAATATTTACCTTAAACTTAAAAAATTTCATATTTCATTATAAATTTTTTAAACCAAAAAAAAAAATTATAATTCATAAATATAATAAAAAATAACTCATTTTCTAGTCTTTCCAGTTTTCCTTCGGAAAGCATCGATTCGAGTTGTTGTAATTCTTCCTCGAGCCCTTCAAGAATTAAAAAAGCTTCTTTTTCAATTTTAGCAAAGTTCTGTAAAAAATTTTTTAAATAAGAGTTTTTAAAAATTTATTATTATAGCTTTGATCGGTTTAAAAATTTTTAAAATTATGCAAACTTCTGTTATTAAATTTTTACAATGATATATTATTTATTATACTTTTTTTAAAATTTAATAATTTTAATAAATTGATATGCAAAGTACTTTTATTATACCAATTTCTCAAGCCTTAAAATAATAAAATATTTTTTGTTGAAAAAGTTAATTAATTTATATGCAAAGTTCTGTTAAGATTACTATAAAAAAATTCAGTTTTTACAATTATAGATTGTATTTTTCAATTTTGAAAAAAAAATTAATAAATAAAGAAATATGAAAAGTACCGGTATACAGAAAAAATTAAAATTTTTGAAATTTTAAATTATAATTACTAATTAAAATAATTGTATATTCATAATTTATAAAATTAATTTTTATAGACTGCACTTTATTGGTTGCTAATCCACCTAAAATTATATTTTAAATTTTAATAGTAATTTGATTAGTCATTTATTCTACATATTTTAATTATTAAAAACAAAAAAATTATATATTTTTATATTCTATTTATCGTTTATTCAATTTATATTAGAAAATATTTTAAAAAAAAAATTAAACTTTTTGAAATTAATAAAACAAAATATAGTTGATATATTGAACTTCTTTCTCTGATTTGTGCATATCTCGAGAACGATTCAGTTTTTCTTGTGAACTGGCCAACTCTTCTTCTTTTTCCTGAATACATTCCTTCACCTTCAGGAAAAAATAAGTTCAGACAAAATAGTAATTGTCTACAAAAAAGTTAAAAGTAATTATTAGGCATAAAGAAAATAACGATTTTGTACGAAATGGACCAATAGTATAAATATAATATGTTAGTGATAATTTTATTAAGTGTAACGCCCTCCAAATATTGTAACCTTAAAATATTTAATGAAATAGTATAAAAAAGTAATAACCAATTATATTAGATGATCCATTAATTTATAATTAAATTTATAATAAGCCAACCAATAAGAGCTAATTTTTTCTTAAAAAAATAAGTGCAATTAAACTTACAAATTACCACGAAATGTCTTAAACGGGACCAATTATGGTCCTAAATAAGTTCCCAACAAAAAGTATTCGTTATGGTCAAGTAGTCCCATAAGTTATTATTAAAACATTTCATCTAAAAATTCTTTTTTTTTTATTTTTAGTTAATGCTTTTACTTTTATTTTATTTTTTATGAACTTTTTATAACATTCCTTTATTATATAAAACTTTATTAAACGTTCTTATATATTTATAATAATACTGATCACTATTTACAATTTCTTACAATTGATAGCAAATATAAAATATTTACTAAATTTATATTTTATATTAATTCTCTACATTATTTAAAAATATTGAACAAAAATAGTAGTAACAATAACTCTTTTTATGAGTTATTATTATATATTAGTTCTATTTCTAAAAATTTTATAATTATAAAAATATTAATGTTTTTTTATATATTTATTTTTTTTTAATATTTAATTATATTATAGTAATATAAAAAATTTATAATAATTTTTTTTAGTATTTATTAATATTTATATTTACTTTTTTTAATTATTTTTGATAATTATTTACTTTATCATATAAATTATATTAAATTATGTTTTTTTGGAAATCAAAGTTTTTGTTAATAATTTCTAATGAGTTGTTATGAAATAAAAATTTTAAGAATTTAAAATTTCTTTTTAATTTCTATAACATTTTCTTTATTTTTTATATTTATAAACTTTTCAAACAAATTTTTTCTATAAAATTTATAAAGAAAACTATACATTATTATTTCACTAATTTTCAGTTTTTAAAAAATTCCTTAAAATTATTTTTTTAGTTATGAATTTTAATGAAAATATAAATATATAGAATAATATTCTATCCAACAGTATTCGATGACAAGGCAAATAACCTGCTCTAAATGGTCCTCTAAAAGAGCCGACTCTTCTTGAAGATCAACAATATTTTTAAGGAGCGCCTCTTTTAATTGCGCCAAATTGGGCTACATAAAAATGTAAATAAGAAATTGTTTTGTTCGCTCGAAAAATAAAACTTTTTAGAATTTTTATAGTACTTTTATATATTTATATACAGAAATTAACAAGTGTATATTTTAGAGAGTTATACAATTTAATAGGGATAATAATAATAATGAAGTCACGTTTTCATTATTTTTAGTAGCAAAAGTAGAGTAATTATATGTCAAAAAAATAATTAATTCAATTAAAAATTGTTATAACTTATAGTACTTTATATATATATTTTTTTATAATATACACGTGTAGCTTTTAAGAGTTACACAATAAAAATAATAAAAATACTAAATACGATAATAATAAAGTCATAAAAAAGTAACCTAATTGATATATTTTACTTCCATAAAAAATGCTTTCTTTTATAAATTTTCATAACTTTATAAAACTTTTGGTATATTTACATAAAATATATACACGTGTTTTTTTTTTTAAATCAAACAATTAAAATAGTGAAAACAGCAATAAGAAAAGTTAAAAAAAAAAGTAATTTTAGTTTTTATTTATAAAACTTTCAAGACTTTATAGAACTTCTTTATATATTTCCATATAAAAAATACACACATATAGTACAAAAGTTAGACAATTATAATTGTGAAGAAATAAAGAAGTCACATCTTAAAAAAATTAATGTAAACTTTTTATCTTTAATTTTTATGTTAAAGATAATTTTTTTAATAAAATATTTAACTTTACGGAACTTGGTGAATGTATATATCATATATATACACGTGTTTATTATAAAAGTTTTACAATGATAATAGTGAAAATAAATCATCCAGTCAGGATATCTCTAAAAAGTAACATCCTTTTTTTATTTTCTATATATTTATATAAAAATAATAAAATGATCACAACTTTATAAACTTTTTATATATTTATACACCAAAAATAAACACGTGCATATTAAAAGTTTTTAAATGAAAATAGTAAAAATAATAAACTCACTTTGATACCTCCTTTTAGCTTAACGAATAGCATTTCGTGCGGGTTTGAATGCTCCTCATTTATAAGTAATTGATAATCGACGCCGCCGGCAAGCTGGTGAAGATAATGTTATACTTTGTATTCAAAAAAACTAATAAATCTAAAAAAAAAAATAATAATATAAGTAAATGATATTTTTCAATATTAAAAATAAAAAATAACATAAATTTCTATAAAAATATTCACAGCGAGTTTTGACAAAATTTATAAAAATATTATAAAAAAATTTTTTTTGCAAAACTTTTTGTATTATTTTACAAATTGATAAATAACAATATATATATATATATCCCAATAAATTTTTTTCCAAAAATGTATAATAAAAATGTAAAAGATTTATCAGAAAAAAGCTGGAAACAAATAAAAGTTAATTATCAAATATAACAATTATTGCATAAAAGTTGTAATTTTAAATCATATATATAAGAAAAAATCTAAAAGTTTTATTATATATAATTATTACAAATAACAAATTTTCAAAAGTTATTTTATAAAATATAATAAGAAATTTATAAAAATACTTTTTAAAAGTTTTATTATATATAATTATTATTATTACGGAAAACCAAACTTCTAAGGATCATATAATAAAAGAAGAAATATATAAAAGTACTCTTTAAAAAAAAAAGGATTCATTACATATAATTATTATTGCATAATAAAATTTTATTAAAAAATTATGTAATATAATTAAGTAAAAAGTTTATAAAAATAATATCTTTTATAAAAGTTTATTATTTATAGTTATATACCCTAAAACCCAACTTAAAATATATATATAAAGTATATAAAAAAGAAAAGTTAATAGTTAAATTTTTTTTAAAAAAAAATTATAGAATATAATATTATGAAAAAAAGTTAATAATAATTTACATAAAATTTTATTATATATAATTATTATTGCAAAAAAGTCGAACTTTTTAAAAATATAGATAATATAATGTAAAAGTTGATGAATACAAATATATTAGTTTCTAATAAAACGTTTTCTTATATATACAGTTATTATTATAAAAATTGAATATATATCTATATATAAATATAATATAATAATATAAAAATAAAAAGTTAATATAAAAATTATATATTATTAACTCTTAGGAAAAGGTTTCCTATATATTTAACTATTATTACAAAAAATTGAATTTTGGAAAAAAAATATAATTTGCAAATGTTTTCTTATATATACAATTATTATTATAAAAATTGAATTTGAAAAAATATATAATTATATAAAAATAAAAAGTTGATTAATAATGTTTAAAAAATAATTTATTATTTATATAATTATCATTTAAAAAATTGAATTTTTTTAAAAAAAAATATATATATATAATAATAAGTTGAAAAAAATAATTTATAAAAAGTTTTATATATACAATTATTACTAAAAAAAACGAATTTTTTTTTAAAAAAAAATTTATACATTAAAATAAAAAATTAAATAATAATTTTAAAAAAAAATTTTATATACAATTGTTAGGATAAAAATTAGAGTTGAAAAAAAATGTTGTACTATACATAAACAAAAAGTATTAATAATAAATTTAAAAAAGTTTTATTACACAATTATTATTATAAATAATATAAATTTTTTTAAATAATATTGATTATTAATAATTCTTAAAAATATTTTCCATGTACAATTATTATTATATAAGTTAAAAAAATAGAATATACAAATTAGTATAAAATAATAATAATAAAATCTAAAAAAATCTTGTTATATACAATTATTCTTACAAAAAATAGAATTTCTAAAAAGAAATAATATTATACAAAAATAAAATAGTATTAATAAATTTATTAATTAAAAAAAAATATTTTTTTATATAAATTGATATAATAATTGTATTTTAAAAAAAAAATTATACAAAATATTAATGAAAACGTTAATAAAAAATAATAAAGTTAGAAGTTTATAAAATACAATTATTATTACTACAAACGAATTTTTAAAAAGGAAATATTATACAAAAAAAATTAAAAAAAAATATTTTAAATATTTAATTTTTTTTAATATTTAATCATTATAATAAAATAATAATTAAAAAAAAATTATAATATATAAAGAATTATCATATATATTATATAAAATTAATATTCTTTATGAAAATGATTTATTATTTACCATTATTATTATAAAATATAGAATTCTTATAATAAGAAGTTAAAAAAAAATAATTTAAAAATTTATAGAAGTTATTATTACAAAAAATCGAATTTTTAATATAAATAAGTTAATAAATAGAAATAAAAATAATAATTTTTGATATATATTATAAATAAATTATAAAATATTAAATGTAAGAAATATATAAAATATAATATAAAAATTTCGAAAAAGTATACATAAATATATATAAAAATTATCATAAAAATATTAACATAATAAAAATGGTTAATGACTTTTTATTAATAATATCTAGATTAAAGTATTTGAAATAGGAAAGTTTATTATAATATGATACATTTTTTTAAGTATTATCACAGGAAATAAGTTTATATTAAATAAATAATAAAAGTTCTGATAGAAAAAAAATATTAATATAAAAAATTCACTAAAAAATTTTAATAAAAGCAAAAATATGTAATATATAAAATAATAAAATATTACAGAGTAAAAAATGATAATAAGGATAATAATATAGCATAAAGATTATGAAAAATAAAATAAATAATAATAAAAGTAAAAATATATAAAACCAATATTAATATATTATATTTTATTAATAAAAATACATAAAAAAATAGAGCAAAAGTTAAAAAAAGATACAAAAAAGATAAAAAAAAATACTGTAAAATATAATAAATAAAATATATATATATACAGTAATATATTATAAATAACAAATATTTAAAAAAAATACAAAAATATAATATTATAAATAATTACAATAAAAAGTAAAATTAATATAAAAAAGGATTATAATAATAAATTTAAGGTCATAATAAATAAATAAAAGAATATTAAAATTATCTGAATAATATATATAATATTTATTATAAAAAATAGTAACAAGGTTTTTTAAAGTTTAAGAAGAATACAAAAATATTGAAAAATATATATATAAGTATAATATATTGTCATAAAAATATTAAAACATTATTATTTAACACCATTACTTTCATTGGAAACAATTATATACTAAATTAAATATTACTAATTTTTGAATCTTTGCAATTGGCTATAATTAATTGGTATAAATTATTAAACTGGCATTTTCAATTTATTAACTATTAATAACACGTTTTGGTAAAAGGAATAATCACCAAATGAGAAGAATATATAAAAAATATTCCAAGATATAATAATAATTATATAAAGAGTAAGAAAAGTAAGAAAAAATATGTAAAAACAATATAATTGTTATATTTCTTATAAAAAACAATGACGTAATACAAAAAAAATATCAAATAATAATATAAAATATATTTCAAAGCGAATTATAGTAAATAAAAATAATAAATAATAAAAGTAAAATGAAGAAGAAAAAATATATAAATAATAATAATAAAACATTATAAAAAATAACAAAAAAAAAGTATACTAGAAGTTTAAGAATTCAAAAAAAACTAATATACAATTTAATAAATTAAAATCAAAATATAATAGACGTAGAAAAAAATATAAATAAAATAATGTTACGGTAAAAAAATTAAAACAAAATGAGAATATACAAAAAAAATGAGCAATAATTATTAAAAATAAGGACAAAATTCCAAATATATACAAATAATATTTATATTAAATAAATACAAAAAATTATAAAAGTAAAATGTTTAAAAAGTTTATTATATACTACTACAAAATAAAATAAAATAAAAAAGAGTAGAATATTCAAAATTTTGAAAAAAATTCTTAAAAATATTAAAAAAAATAAAAATATAATAAATAAAAAGAAAACTATAAAAGTAAAAAGAATATAATAATGATAATAATATATAATAACACAAATAAAAAATTTTAAAAAAAAAACAAAATATAATAATAATTATATTATAGTTAAAAAAAATTAAAATAATATATAATAATTAAAAGTTAGAAAAAGTTTATAATAAAAAATTATAATAATAACTAACAAATAAAAGTAATAAATAGTGAGAGCTTAAAATAAAAAATTGTAAAAAAATAAATTCAATCAGTAGAAAAAATAATAATTAAGATAATTTAATACATAATAAAAACAGTTAACAAAAAATTTTTACCTTAACCCCTAAATAGAAAATTATTTAATTAAAAAAAAAAGTTTATAAGAATAATAAACAAACATTATAATAATAATAAAAAGTTCTTTTTATATAAAATGAGTTTCTTATAAATATAATAACTATAAATAAAAAAAATCGTTTTCATTAGAAAAAAGGAATAGAAAAAGTTTCTTATAATAATAATAAACATAAATAATTCAATAAAAGTTTTCTATAAAATAATAGTAATAAATAGTAAAAGTTTATAATAAAAATTTGTAAAATAATTATTTTATTAATTGCAATACAAAAAAAATTGTTAGAAAAATATAGAAATAAATAAAAAATGTTATAATGATACCATTATATAAAATGAGTTTATTAAAAAATAGAATGACAAAAATAAAATAAAAGTAATCTAATACAAAATTCATTTTCATTAAAACAGAAAAAGGAATAAAATAAGTTATCATAAGTATAATAAACAAAAATGGTAGAAGCAGAAATATTTATAATAAAAAAAAATAAAAAGTTTTTAATAATAACAATAAAACTTTAAATTATAAGAATTTATAATTATAAACATTAAATACACATAAAAATAAAATAAAAACTTTATTATATAATAATTATAAGTATATTTTATAGGTTATGAAATTAATTATTAAATAAATAAAATATCTGTAACAATAAATATTAAAAAATAAAGAAAAGGTTATAATAATAATAAATTATGTAAGATAATTATTAAAAAAAGAATTAAAAAGTTTGGAATAATAAACAAAAAACTTAGAATAGAAAAATATATTTAATAGATTATAATAATAATATAAACATAAACAAATAATAAAGAAATAAATTTGTATATTAAGTAATAAAAAATTATAATAAGTTTATAATAATAATCAAAAAGCATGAAAAAGAAGAAAGTAAAGATATTTATAATAATAATAATAATAATCTATTTATATTAATAATAATAAAACAAAAAAATAAATAATAATAATAATAAATTTCAGATAATAATATTTATAAAAAAACAAAAATATTTTTGTTGGTAGAAAATGATAAAAAAGATTAGAAAAAGAGAGTTTATATATATAATAATAATTATAATAAGGACGAACTTTTGCGGTGGAGGGGAGGAGGTGAAGACGCATTGCCTTTTGATGGTACACATGAAAATCATTCATTAATGAAGAAAAAAATTGTTTGTACTCCTAAAAATTATATAATAATATGAATAATTATAATTAATATAATAATAATTAAAAGCTTACATGTAAATATAATAAAAGCAAAGTATTATAAAATAATAATTATAGCAGTAATAATAAATAAATAAATTTAATATTGTTAATAGAAGTTACTGTTTTAAAAAAAACAGTAAAAAAATATAATAAATATTATATTTTTTAAAGTTTATTATCATGAAAGTAACTAATAAATGTAACAATATTATATATTTTTCATAGAAATTATAATATGAAGTAACCGAACTAATGAAACTTTTATTATTTAAATATTATAACAAAAAATTGTCACTATTATTATTACTATTACAGAAATTATCACAATTATCAAAAACTTTCATAAAAATATGACATTATTATAGTAATAATAAAAAATAAAAAATGTTATGAATTTATAACAAATCATTGTCTCTACATTATTACTATATTATGAAAAAATAAAAAATAAAAAATAAAAGACGTTATGAATATTATTATAACAACTATTGCCTATCTTATTACTCCTTTTATAAATTATTAATATTATAAATCATTCATAATGTAATAGTATAATCATAAAAATAAAAAATGTTATGAATTTTATAACAAAACATTGCCATAATTATTATCATTATTATAAAAGCTTTCATAACAATATAATATTAAAATTATAAAAATAATAAAAAATTGAAAATATTATTATTTTTGTAACACAACATTATTGTTACTATTATTATTACTATTAATATTATTATAAAAACTTAAAAAAATATAATTATATAATCGTAATACTAATAAATAAATAAAAAATGTTAGGAATATTCTAACAAAACATTATTATCACTATTATTACTGCTGTTAACAAGTACTAATATTATTAAAAACAAAATTGCCTTCTCCCTTTCCCAGTTGAGCTTTTTTGCTTCATTTTTATGACTTTCAAGCTCCTTTAAGTCCAATTCCAACTTAAAAAATATTGATTCATTAAAAAAAAAATTACACAATATTAATTAAACAACAAAACTTATACGCTAATAAAAATGATTGTAAATAATAAAAATATTGTAGTTGAATTATAACGACAATATCTATACATAAAAAAATTGCAAAGTATTTTTGAACATCAAAGAAAAGTTCATATAATTAATTTCATATTCATAATAATTTGCCTATAATGGTCACGTAAAAGGCAAAATAAAAGTATATTGGCTATAAATACAATGAAAAAATTTCGCAATATTTAATAGTTTCAATAATTCATTAATTTTTTTTAACGAACTCCCCAACAACCTCTCTCGCCATCAATTTTAGTAAAAAGAAAATAAAATATTAAAAATATGAATACCTCGAAAGAAATAACTGCCTCCCAATAATTACCAAAAAACTTGAAAATTTTATCAAATTTACTGATTTCTACGCATAATCATAACATTCCTTGCTCTCCCCAACCAATTATAAAATTATTAGAAAACCAAGAAAAATATATTAAAATTCTCTCAATTTCAATTCTTAATAGAAATATTAATTTTTTTGGGAGCCCCAACAAATTTAATGACACGATGAAATTATATAATAGCAATATATTTATATAAAATACATTTTTATGATTTTCTAATAAAAAAATCATTATTTTTCTGCGAGCCCCAACAAATTAAGTAATATAAATTAAAAAAAAACCAAAAGATATATGAAATCCCACATTTTATAAATACCTAAAAAATTATTAATACTATTGCTAGCCCCAACGATAATAAAACCAAGCAATCTAGGAAACCACACTTCAAAGATTTTTAATAAAAACATTAATTCAGCGAATCTAAACAAATTATGTATAAACAATATTACTCTTGCGAGCACCAATAAATTTCTGACTTCATAAAATTAAAAAAAAAACCCAAAAATAAATGAAACTACATTTATTTCAAAAAATTTATAAAAATTCATCAATATTTCTGCGAGCCCAAACAAGTTATGGAATGTTAATTAATAAAATTAAATGAAACATAAAAAATCATAAAACTAAACTTTCCAGATTTTTAAAAAATTTCATTAACTTGCGAGCGCTACAAAAACTAATAAAGAATAGTAAAATAATGAAATTCACAATTTTTATTAATTTCTTTTCTAACGCGTCCCAACAAATTATATGGCATAACAAAATTGAAAGGAAAACCAAAAAAAGTTTAGACAACACAATAACTCCTGCAAACCCCAACAAATTTTTATAATACCACATAAACTCAAAAATATGACACCACAATAATTCTTGCGCACCCCAACAAAGTTACCTGATATCTTTCGTTATTAATTTTTTCCACATCCATTTGAGACAATTCTTGCGTCTCCAAAATATTTTCTAAATTTCTTTTTTCTGTTAGAAGGCGCTCCAATTCAGAACCTTTTTAATAATAAATTTACAAATATTGATATGTTTATAGTAAAAAATATAGTGAATTAATATATTTTCGCTTTATTAAATAAAATAATTTTTTTCTATAGAAGTTATAAAAAAATTACCGGCAAGTAAATCTTTTTCTTAATAACCAGTTTTGTATACAAAAAAATAATTTTTAAAAAACCAATCAAAAAGTTTTTTAATAATAGAAATACACAATAAATTTTTATAAAAATATTAATATATTAATAGTAAATAATATAATTTAAAAAATACTTTTTTCCAGTAAACTTTTACTTAATAAGTTTTCCTACACAGAAATAAATTTTTACTATAAAAGAAATCCAATAAAAAAAATTTTTTTAAATAATAAAAAATAATACATACGAAACTTTCAAAAACTATTAATAAATAAATAGTAAATAAGATAATTTAAAAATAAATTTTTACTTCGATAATAATAATAAAGAATTAGTAAAAAAAGGGTTTTTTTCAAAAGTTATACCGAAAAATAAAATAAAAGATGGTCAGTAAAATTTTAACGGAAAAAAGTTTTTATATAATAATATTTTTTGGTATTAAAAAATATAATTAGTAAAAAATTTTACTTTCCTACAAAAAAAAAATACTTTTTTTTTATTACATTAAATTATTAAAAATGAAAACTTTCCAGTAAATTTTTTTTTAATTAAGTTTTTTTATATAAAAATAAACATTTACTACTAAAAAATGATGTATAACAACTTAAAAAATATATATTTACTAGAAACTATTTTCTTAAAATAAATTTCTTTTATAAAATTATCTTTTTTACTATCAAACCATAAAATATTTACTTTTCAAATAATAAGTTTTCTTTAAGTATGTAATTATATAAATCTTTTCATATCGATGAAACCTATTATTTTATTTAAATAAGTAATAATAGTATAATATTTATAATATAAACTATTTTCTCTAGTAAATATATTTGTAACATAAATTTTATTATAATATACAAAACTTTTATAAATTTTTTTACTTTATGAAAAATTACTGCCAGTAAAAACTTTAATAATTAAAAAAAAGTTTACTTCTATTATTAATTTTTTTCTTTATTATATTTTATATTATTAAATAATAAATTTTATACTAAAAAAAAAATAATTTTAATTCTTTTATTTTTTTTTTATTATATAAACATTTCAAAAAAAAAATTTAAAATATAAAATTTATATAAATATCTAATAAATATCCAATATATATAAAAACTTTTCTTTAAATTATACTTATTTTATTTGTTCTATGATAAACTTATTAAAAAATATTTTAAAATGTATTCTATATTTTTTTATAAATTAGAAAATGTTAAAAAAATAATTTTTTATTTATTAATTATTAATTATACTTTCTTATAAAAAGTATAAGTAATATTATTATAATAAATATATAATAATAAAGTTTTCTTAAAGTAAATATAATATTAATACATTTTATAAATCCAATTTAAAAATGTCATAATTTATTTCAAAATTCACTAAAAAATTGAAGCTCAAGTCATCCAATAAAAAACGTTAAAATAATTTAAAAGCACAAAAAATTAAAAAAAATATAATCCTTTTTTTATTTATTATATTTTATAGTAAAATCCACTTATAAATATTAAAAATATTTTATATGAAAAATATAAACCTCAAAGTTTTCAAAAAGTATTAAAGTAAAAAGGATTTAATAAAAAACTTTTGATAATGTAAACTTATAAAAAAGTAATATTAAAAAAAAATTAAAAAAAACTTTTTCGCAAAAAATAAATTCTATAAATAATAAAATATATAAACTTTTAACTTGTAAACATTTATGAACGTTATATAAATAAATTATCATTAATAAATTATATAATGATAATAAAATATTATATATATACATAATATAAATTTTTTTTAAAGTTATATAATAAAAAAATATTTTTAAAAAAAGTTTAAGTTTATATAAAAAATATAAAGCAAAAGAAAATTATATTTTTTTATAAAAATAGAAGTCAACAACTTTTTTAAAAAAAAAGAATACAAATTCCAATATAAAAATTTTGTTAAAAGTAAAAAAAAACTTTTTTCTTCCAACTCCTTATAAACTTCCGCTTCCTTATTGGTGCATTGGGCCACGTGCTGCTTGTATTCATTAATGAGGCTTACTAGCTTTCTTTTTTCGCTTAAGGCATTTTCGCGGGCGGATTGTAATATTTTAAGGCGAGACTTTAAAAGTAGTAAAATAATAATAATATAATTCTCTAAAAAAACGACAAAATTAAAAACAGTACGAATCACTAGAAAAGAATTTAGAATTTACCAAAAATAAACTAATAGAAATTAGTTTACAAAATATTTTTTAACGCTTCTTCGGCAATACTTGAGCCAATAAAGTTCAGTAATTTTAAAAGTATTTATTTTGATTATAATTATTATTCAAAAATTATCGGTTATTCTTATTTGTTTCTTTATATATTTGTATCACAATTTCTTTTAAATTTATTATTATAATTAAATATATTTATTTTTATTATAATAAATACTTATCATTTATTTATTTCCCATATTTATAATTTATTATTATTAAATACCTATTATAATTATTTTACTAAATAAATATTTGTTTTTTCTTTATAGTTACTTATTATTTATTATTTTATTATTATTAATATTAAAATATTTATTATATTTATATTTACTTATTATTTATTTTTGAGCATTATTAGTTATATAATTAGAATTTTTAAATTTATTATTTTTAAGTTTATATAAATTAACTTAAATATTTATTTTACGATTTATATTTACTTATTATTTATTTTTATTTGTTTCTATAATTAAAAATATTTATTCATTATTTATTCATATTAACTCATTAATTAATTTTTCACTATAATTTATATATTTGTTATTTTTATTTCACCTAATAAATATTTATTTCATTATTTATTCAAATATTCATTTTTCTTGCTTCAATTAACAAAAGTTATTTTATTATTTATTAATATTGGCTCATTTAAGTTTCAATATGTACAAAACGCACGGGTTCTTCTTCGAGCTGCTTCAACTTTTGCGTCTCCCGTTCAATAGCGACATTAATATCAACCAACTGCTGTTGCAGTAGATTATTTTTTTCGGCTGACAAAAATTATAATGAATATTCATAATCAACCAATAATAATGGAGATAAACTACCGAAAACAGAGAGCTCAGCACCGCCTTCATAATCGTCATCACCTTCCAAATAAGAAATATAAGCCTAAAAAAAATTTAAAAATAATAATAATGGAAGTGTTTTAATAAAAAAATATATAATTAAGTTTTATATTTATTGATAAAAGTTTTAATAGAAAAAGTTTAATAATAGTAATAATAATAACTTTGGAGATGTATTCAAAAAAAATCCTCTCAGTTTCTCGCTGGGACTGAACCTCATCTTCAAAGTTATCATCATGCAAAGGAAAAAAACACATGGGCCCAACTTTTTTGAAATACTGCAAAGCAGTTTAATAAAAATAATAATGTTAATAATAATAATAATAATAATAATAATAATAATAATAATAATAATAATAATAATAATAATAATAATAATAGTACTGAGCACAACTCCCCAAGCCATAGCAAACAGCCCAATAGACAAGTCCACGCGCGTGGCGTCCAGGCCAAAAAGGTGCTTTTATTGATGTTGAATGGATAGCTATTGGCCGATAAAAAAATTATTAGTATTATTAATAATATTTCTATTATATTAAAAATTTATTGTTAATAACAATAATAATGAGGATAAGTAAAAAGAAAAATAGAAATATACAATAATTATAAAAAAAAACTTAAAAGTATACATAAATAATATGTTATGAACGTTAAACTATTATAAATAGTATTATTATTAAAAAACTATAAAAGCTTTATTATAAAAATAAAAAGATATATAAAGTAATAATAAAAGTATTACGTTTCTAAAGGTATTGTATAAAAGGATTATCATATGAAAGAGTTATGAAGTATTTTAAAAAAGTTAAAGTAATACTAAAGCCAACCATTTATGTATTATTATTACTTTATAATTAATGCAAAAATATAAATTTATATAAAAAAGTAGTATATATATATTTATTACCTTGAACTTTTTTAAAATAGTAGTAAATTTATATTTTTTATATTAAATAAATATTATGTCGAGTTAATACCATAAAATGTAGATCTTAGTAATAATTCATATAAAAAATATATATAACAGTAATAAATTTATTTAAAAAAAGATAGAGAATAAAAAAATTGTATATATATAATTATTATCTCCGAAAAAAATTTATATTTTTCATAATATATAATATATTCATGTAAAGTTATCCCTTAAAATATATATATTAGTAATATATTTTTTATAATTCGAAAAAAGTATATATTAATAATAAATTTATTAGATAAACATAAGAATGTGTTATATATATTATTATCTTGAAATTTTATAAATAGTAATAATTATGTTTTTTATAAAAAATAAAGTTTTATTTCTAGAAAATTATTCCTTAAATTGTAGATATTAGTTATGTATTTATATGAAAAATATATTTTTTATTATAAAAAAATATATACAAGAATAATTTGATATAATTATTATCTTGAAATTTTAAAAATAGTAATCAGTTTATATAAATTTAATAAAACAAAAAAATAATAGAAATAAAAAACTTTTATAATAAATAAAAAACAAACTTTCATAAAAATCCTGAAATAAAGTTTTATTATTATTATAAATTTAATTAAAACTTTCCTTAAAATTTTATAATAGTGATAAAGTCATATAAAAATATTTTTAATAATAGAAAATATTTAAATATTAACTAATTAAAAAAAAGGTATAAATTTTATAAAAAAATGAATTCTAGAAATAAAAAAAATAATAAATTCATAAAAAAAATACTTTTATTATAAAAAATATAGTAATAACATTAAATTATAAAAAATTTTTTATAGTAAAAAATGTTTACTTATATGTACAATTATTTATAAAATAATAAATATATTAAAAAAATTGTGAAATTTTTTTAACAGCCTGCACTAATTGTTTTAAATTTTTTATAGTTTTTATATAAAAAATTTGATTCTCTTAAGCTCCATATTTTAATATATAATACCTAAATCTATATATAGTTATAATAAACTATTGGTCAGTCGTAAGTTTGTTTCTCCTTGTCAGGCCTACACGTGTTCAAGAACATGCAAAGTCAAGGACTGTCTAAACTTGGGTTATACCACGTGACAGCCAGATGTCTCCAAATTATATTAAACGGTAAAAACCTACTAAAGGGTGCAGTTATAATATCAAAAGTACTTAAATGCTGTAATTCCGCACGTGATAGTCACAAACTACAATCAATATATACGCGACTAAAAAAAGCGAATCACTACAAATTTACAAGCGAAAATAGTTTTTATTATTAAAATCGGCTTAAAAACTTTTATAGTTTATATACAATTGTAAAAAAAAATAGAAATTAAAAGTTAATTAAATAAATTAAATTTCATAGAAATAAAAAGTTATAAATAACCTAATACTAAGTATATAAAAAAATTTACTCAATAAAATAAATTTCGATCTTCTATATTATACTAAAATTTAAATAATACAACTTCCCTGTAATAATAATAATAAAAATTTAAAATAAAATTTTCAATATAAAAAAGAATTATATTCACACAGAGTAGTACCCCAATTCTTTCATGAGCGCTGGAAGTTCTTCGACGTAATTTGGTGAAGTAAACTAAGTTAAATTTAAGTTATTTAAAAGATTTAATTTTACATGTAAGCAACGTTTTAAAATTTTAAAGATAAATATATTATACACCTCAAGTTAATTAATAATAGTAAATTATAAATCACTATTAACTTATTTATGGATATTAAACAAAAAAGTATCAAAGTCTTGTAATAAATTATAATTAAATTTAAGTTATTTAAAAGACTTATTTCTAATTTTTACTTGCAAGCAAATTTTTAAAATTTTGAATAGAAATTTATTATTAACTTTTATTAAATTTAATAAATTATCAGTCACTTTCAACTTTGTTATTGTTATTAAGCAAAAAAGGTTATCAGAATTCTTTAAAGAATAAAAAATAAAATCATATTAGTTAAAAGATTATTATAATTTTTACAAGCAAGCAAAGTTATAAAATTTAATAAAAACTTTTGTAAATTTTAAAATTTAAGAAAATTTATGATTTATTATTTCAAATATTTATTTAATATTTAAAATAAAAAAGTAGTCAAAGTTCTTTAAAGTAAACTAAATTAAATTAAAAATTGATTACATGCAAACGGAGTTTTAAAGATTCTAATAAAAATATTAAAAATTTTAAAATAATTTAAATTTTTAAATTAATTAATTCTACAACTATATTTTAATATTTGATTAAAAACGTTATCAAAGTTCTTAAAAGTAAACTAAATTGAATTAAAAGGTTTAAAACTTAAAATGCAAGCAAAGTTTTGAAATTTTATAAACTCCAAACTATAAAACTTTATTAAATTATTAATCACCGTTACCTTTTTTTAAAATTAAATAATAAAAATTGTCAAATTTAATAAAGAAAACTAAAACGATTAATAACTTATTTTATTAAACTTAAATATTAATAATCAGATTTAAATTTAAACAAATTTATAATAATAATTAACAATTCTATAAATATTGAGTTTAGATTTTAAATTTTTGTTTCATTTTGATGATTATAAATTTAAATATATACAAGTTTACAAAAATAGTTTTTAATCTTTTAATAAGATTTACAAGCCAAGATTTCAACATTACTTGAAGATTTGTATGAAAACTTAAAATTTTATATTTTAAAAAAATTTTATATTTTTTAACGAATATCTTTTATATAAAAAAAGTTCAGATAAAAAATATTTGAAATAAATTTTTAAATGATAATCGTGTAAATTAAAAAAGTTAAACTTTTTATATTGTAAATAAATTTGTTCTTATAAAATTCTTGTTTTAATTATATAAGAAAAGTTATAAATACTTCATTATTAATAATTATTTACAATTTTTTTTATAAAATTTTTATATAAAATTAATATTTATATTATTATTGTTATTCGTAATATCCTTGTTCTTTCTAATAATTTGGATTTAAAAGTTTTTATTTTTTTATTGATAATAATTCTCATTAAATAAATTTAAAAAAATTAAAAAGTAAATTCAAAGTTAAGAATAAATAGTTAAACACTTTCAAACATAAAAAAATAATTATTAACAAAATCCAAATTATCAATAAAAACTAAGTATTTAGTAAATTATATAATTCTAAAATCTTTATATGAAATTATAATAAAAATTATAAAATATATAATATTAATAATAATAAGATGTGCTGTCGTAAAAGAATCGCTAATAAATTCATGTAGATTTTTAAGTGGAATAACTTTTCTTAAAAGTAAAATGATAATAAATTTTTAATAGAATTATTTTTAAAATAAGGATTTATTTTTTAAAAAAACCTTCCTATGTGGATCAAGTTGATTATAAAGAAATTTAAAAATCCTTAAATAATCCTTCATTGCCGGATTCGCAAATGACTTAATGCCTATGGGATGTTCATAACCTTCAATAAAGTAAAGAAGTGTTTTAAAAGTTGATAAAAAATAAGAGTAAAATAATAAAATTCCAAATTAAAATTTTTAAATTTATATATTATTATAAATAAAACGTATAATATTTAAAATTAGAATTAATAAATTGTGAAAAATTAAATTCATGTTCATAATTTTCAACGAAAATATTAATAAATAATACTTTATTAAAAAGAAAGTATAATAATTATAATTTTCTTAAACAAAATAAAATTTCCGTTAAAAATTACAAAAATTAAAATTAAAAAAGTATAAAATATATTTCACCATGTTTTAATCTTTAACGAAGTCATTAAAAATAAATAATGATTCTTTATAAAAAATTTTAAATTTATATATATATTATTAATTATCAAAAGTTCAAAAGTATAACAATTAAATTCAAAATTAATAATAGAAGTAAAAAAAATTTCATGTTTATATTTAACAAATATAGAAAATAAGAATGTTAATAAAATTAAGTTCTCAATAACTTTTTTCAAGATAACATATAATTGATAATAGAAAATGTAAAAAATTTTTTCAGGATGTCCATAATCTTTAACAAAAACATTGTAGATAAAAGTTAAGAATAAGAAGTAGTTTGACCTAGAGAGTAAAATTCTTAAAATTTTTTAATTTTAAATGTTATTAATAATAGAATGTAAAAAATAATTTAAGAATGTTAAAATAATCAACGAAAATATAAAAATTAAAAAAGTTAATTAAATTTTAATATTCCTTATAAACTTTTTTAAGATAATAAATAATAAGTAATGTAATAATTAATTTTAGATTGCTTACAATCTCATCGTTTATATTAAAAAATAACAAAAGTTAGTAAAAAAATATATAATGAAATTCTTAAGGAACTTTTCTTTAGAGCTATATCCATAATCAAACGTATAAAGATTATTTATCAATGTTTATAATCCTTCACAAAAATAATTGCAAATGGAATAAATAAATCTTATATAATAAAAAATTCTAAAAGATATTTCTTTTTAAGGTTATATAAAAATTAATAATAAAAAGCCATAAAATTTAAATTCATATTGTTTATGATCTTATATCAACAATAATATTAAGTTTCAAATAATTAACTTTACAATACAGAGAGAGAAAATATAAAAACTTAATTTATGATTATTAAAAAAAAAAATTACGTAATACGAAATAAAGCTGTAGACATAATACTAAACTTTTTACCGTTTTCTGTAAGATAACGCACTAAAATAGCTATACTTTCTCTTCTGTATTCCTTATCATTCAAACTTCTAGGATCTTTTAGAACACCTTTTCCTTCCATTAAGTAACTAGAACGTCTATAATATAATAAAGAAATTCATGGAAATTAAAAAAAAAAGTTAACAGCTTTAATTCTTTACCGTGAAAGTGAGGATCGTCCAAAGGAGTTCCTACCAAACGAAGCCCTTGAAGGAGGTAAATTCTCTGTTCCAAAATTCTGAGAAAGACCTGCAATACTCTGTTTCCATAAAATTATCATTACCTTATTTATAATAATTATAGAGTTTTAATAAGAAAATTATTCACAACGTAGTGTTTAAAGAGTTGAGGACTGCTAAATAATATAGTTAATATTTCACCTTTCTGTGGAAGAGCGTTTTTGGCTGTAAAATTGATATATTCTGTTGCCCACCCAAAGAAAATCGTGGTATGCTCATTGAGTTTCTAGACATTTTTATAAGTAAACTTTCGAACGAAAACGACGAACTCTACGCACAAAAGCTAATAAACTAAAACTGCTTTCTATCTAAAAGAAGTTGGCCAATAAAAGGGTTTCTACGAATGCAAATGAAAGGACTGGTTTAGTAGTGAGTGATGAAAAAACGATAGCGTGCTAAATCCATAGCTGCAAGCTAATTAGGCTAATTAACGAGTGGGCATTGTGTATCAGTGATGGTGCACTCGAGCGGTTTCCTTTTCGTTCAAATTGTGACTGAACTGAATAATGTTGTTTACTAGATTATATATACAACACGTCGCTTTCAACAACAAAGTTACACTTAAACAGATCGACTTTTTACTAATAAAATAGCTCTGAAACAGAAGTCATAATAGCACGGCCACTCTGCATACCTTTTTAAGTACAACCGTTCATACTCGCAGCGCTAAAAAGTTAAATAAAAAAGTTAAGGTTATCGTTAAAATTTTTAATTCTTCAAGGCGGGGAAACTAAACATGAGGACTGTGGGGTTCTTTAATATTTTTTACTGCTTTGCTTTTTATATTACCGCGCTGAAAATAAAGTAAGGCCAGCAATTTTACTCAATAGAAGCCAAGCATAAAATAAATTACCCACTTAATAGTTATATTTTTTTAAAAACAAGCCAAATAATTTAGTAAGTGCACAGTTTAACTTATTGAGAACCTCGCAACATTTTGTGTAAAATCCAGCGGATTTGGTACCTTGAAGCAACATGGGCCTCACAGATAACTCAGTAAAGTTGCTTTACATCAAAAACAAAAAAAATACTTTACTTTCATATCGAGTTATAACCAGCTTGCTAGAGAAACATTTAATATACAAATATATAAACTGCATTGTGTTTTATTAATATACCTTATGTCGACCTTTTAAACGTTTTTAATAATATTATATTAAGTAATTGTTAAAATTAACACAAAAACTTTAAACAATTGGCCAACTGAATTCCAATTTCGGATACAAGTGTTTCATAATTTAAATTCTTGAAATTATTGCTAAAGATAATGCAACCATTTCTTCGAAAAACCGTTACCGCTTTATAAAGAAACTTTTAAACACCCCTTTTTTTTTACGTGCTTCTTCGCCTTGACTTTATGTATACCCTAACTTAAAAACTAAGATGCAGATCTTTAATGTAAAAATTACTAACTTTTTTAATTATTGTAAAGTTTAAACGCCTTAAAGCTTAAATAACTGCTCTACCGTACTTTTGTTATAATATTTAAATTTTTTACTAAATAGTTTTTTAACGTAAGAGTGCCAAAAGTTATGTTTTTACAAGGAACTCATCTTTTGTCTGTTCAGTAATTGTTATAGTAAACTATAAAAAACCAGGTAACTTTGTTTAAATTTAAAGATAATAAACCCTTTCAAAGTTATAACAGTGAAATATTGTTAAAGCGCGTCAGCGATTTGCGTAACTTGTAAAAACAATAGGCTGTTAACTTAAGATGTTTTCCCTATACACCCGAATTGATGGTTTTATACTAGCATACATTTTATATATAAAAATGTAAAAGTAATAATAGCTAAAAAATAAAACTTTGTTATCAGCTTATCTCCTAACAATTATGGAAAAACGTCGTTTTTTTGACTTATTAACTATTAAAAATATCGCCACTTTAGCAATTAAATAAATCAATAGATAAATATAACAAAGCTAACCGCACTTATTAATATTTCATAACTATTAAGTAAAACTATCCACGTGTTTATTGTATATTGAATGGAGCACAAAAATGTTTTTAGCTAGTTTACATATAAACATTGCAATTTAGTGCTTCTTTTTATAGAAGTAGCATTTTCACATTCATAGTTAGCAAAATTTTTACTTTGCTCGCTATATTTTTTAGCTGTATCATATTGCCAAGGATGAGTTTCCGATATAACTTCTTCCCTAGGCTTGGCTAATGCGGACTCCGAGGCTTCCAACGGGGCCGTTAGTCCACTTATCAACTGCCACAACAGTAAAGATGCAACTGTATACCGCATTGAAGAAAAAATAAAGTTAACATTAAATTCTCGATGTTTATATTTTTTATTTATAGCACAGACTTGTTACAGGCTGGATTATAATCAATAAAAATTATATATACTTTAAGGAATGGAAAAGAATTATCTAATCCTGATAAATTTTTGTATATTTTTTTTTACACCAGATGGCTTTTTCTAACTGATTTTACATAATAAGTAAAGATTTCTTTCCTCTTTGGTATTAAGGTGTGTCTATTAGGAAAAAAGAAATTTGAGGGCCCATAAGGATATTGATTCATGCAAAAATTAAATAATTTTTGTCAATAAAACTTTTAAGTATGCCAGTTAGTTTTCGATATAAAGTTTTACCATGCACTCTTCTAATATCTATTGGTAGAGGGTTATTCCTATTACTTAGTAAATCAAAGCTTACCTTTTCGTACTTCTAAAGATAAAGCTCTGTATAACACAATTAATAGTTTTGTAACGAAAAAAAAAAATGTTTTAGGCCAGTAGAGAAAACTACGTGTGTCACCTATTAAGACGATGATATTATTATATTTTTTCCTTAGTGCTTAAAAAACAATATATATTAAATTACAGTACAGTTGCAATAACAATAATAGTCTCAGCACAAAAACTTTAGCATGGCTTCATTACCATGTTGAAATTTAAACAATGTAAAAGTTTTTGCCCTCCAGGATAGGTCTTTAAAAATATGAAAAAAAATGGTAGTTATAATCATAGAAATAGAATTTCGTACATAGTATACTTTGTTAAACAAACTGCAAACCTCTATGTACTATTACTTATTTTTAACACTTATAGGTTTTATCGCTTTAAAAACTTGTTATCTTAAAAGACAACTTAGTTAAAGAAAAATAGTGTCCAATGTTTAACGCATTTGCTTCGAAAATTAACTTTTTTTGTACTAATTAAGGATTAAGCTATAACTATTTTTAAACATGGTAAGTGTCCGAAGTGTATTAACAAACAAAACTTTATTACTGTCGATTAACATGGTACTCGACTTTCAATATTAACTTGAGGTCAAAACTGCATCTTCATATGAAGCTAAATATACTTAATATAGTTAATATTTGGCCATTAATTTCAGTTAATAATTTACAAAATTCTCTCATACAATTAGAGTATGTTACAAAATTATAAATTAACGTTGTAAAACTGTGAGAAAAGTAAGTTGCTAAGTAATAAACATTTTTTAATATAGAAAATCTCATATTTCTTTCAATGCCTTTAACTTAAAAATAATCTGTTGATATAGTTCTTAGTCTCAATTGTCGACGGTTAAAAGTTTAGCATCTTTTAATCTCAGATTAGCTTGTGTTTAGTAAAACTTCATATTAATACTTTAACTTTTAGCAGAAAACAAATTTTAAAATAATTGTATTGTTAGAAGGATTAAATATATCTTAAATACTTCGCACCTATTAATATTTATCATAGTCTATTAATATAAAATAATCACATTCCTTATTTTCGAGTAAATATAGGCAATTAAACTTTTATGTAAAGTCATTACCAAGTTAGTATTTTAAGCTAGAAAACTTGATATAATATTTATTAACGATTTGCATAGTTAACATACGCAATAATAAGGTTGCCGTATACAATGTGGCATACAAGGTAAAAAATTTATCGTTAAACTTGATGCTGATTAACCTTAGACAGTGGTTACGCTGGTAGTTGAACAAATGAGTCAGTTGCAGGGCAAAAAACTTCTTGTAATCAAAATATATTACATTTAAACTCATTCCATTATAGATTAACCATTGTGCTCCGGATTAATACTGCTCTTCTTGCGGTTGCTTTTATTACATCAAGGATAACGCTTATCCGAGGGAGCTGCAACGTGTGGTGTGGTAGCAGATAAACTATCATTGATGCGTCCTAAAAAAGGTTTCTTTATAAAATAGCTAAAATTTGAGACCGTCAGGGGGAAATATGTTATCAGAAGAGCTATATTATTATATTATAAAGTTATTAACTATGGTGAGGCGTATATCATCGGCCAAGTAGATTCCAACCATCATCACCCGAGGGAAAAGGACTATCCTGTGGTGATCAGTATGTACCAACACAGTGGTGAGCCTTGCCGCAAAGATCGGCTTGGACTAAGGCTATTCACAGTTCTATTTGTGTTAGTCCTTTACATTAACGCTATCTGATTGGATGAGACAATATGTCAACTAAATACAAAATCTCTACTATAGTATATTAATTTCACTAGCCCAGCGACTCAACTAAACGCAAGGAGCAGACTAAAAAAATAAAATCTTTATAAGTGACTTATTTATACCAACAGTCAGCATTTCTCGTTGGTGGCAAGAAGACGGGATTAATCTAAAGGTGAAGTGATTGAAATCTGGTGTCCTAAACAACGTGTTAATAAAATGGTATTGTACTCACTAAGTTTTCGAATGGTCAATCTTCTTCCAGTTTAAAATTTATTCTCCAATAAAAAAATCATTAAATTTGGGGGAATTACCGGGAAGGCCGAAACTGCTAAGTATTTCAAGGCTAGCAGAAATAAAGGAGGGTAACGAAACACCAAGGACGTCTATAACCCGAACAAAAGTTAAAACCTATGAACCCGATTTCGACTGCTGAGTAAAGTTTCGCTTATATGTAGAGGTAAATGAGAGGATTAAAAGACCCATGAGAAACTATCTCTTTAGACATTCCACTATAACCTTATCTTTTATTTAAATAAGTTAACTAAAATAAATGGTCGGGACTTTAGAAGTTATTAAAAAATAATTTTTTCAACGTGTTTTAAAAAAAAGAAATGAAACGCTTTACTTAATTTTTTAAGAGGCAGTAATTTAATAATTTTTTACTGACCATCCAGGAGAGCAGTTAAAGTTAATTTTAAATTTATTATATATTAGGTTGAGTCTATTTTGTTAAGTTTATTTTTAACGAGCATTATAATTATCTTTCTATGAAAGTACTTAACATTTGCAAAATGTTTTTATATTTTTATATT